TATGTGAGCTTTGTGAACCACATTTTTTGGTTCCGCTTATGCTTTTATGACTTAGGACTATGTTACGAAGAGATGATTTAATGTCGTTACTTTAGTATGTACCTAAAGGATCATGATTGATGTGGTCCGACATGGCATATATAGGAAAGTAGTTAAGTCCAATTGGATTAACGTGAGTAGTTAGGGAAGATAATTCTATCATACACTATCGTTTTGTGACGCATTACCCGGGCGATCATGTCGGAATTGTGTTTTCTAATATGGTTATGAGTACAATATATATTATGGGATTCAAGCAACGCTTTGAGAACAGTCTTGAGAGGGATGGAGGATGCTGAATCTGGTGTAACGAAATAGTCTAGGGCATATATGAGATTACTTATTTATAGTGAGGTACTATGTTAATTTGATGGTAGTTTAAAATAGTACTCATAGCCTAATCTTTCTCGTTTAGTCACATGATCCACTTCCTGTATGTAGATATGAGATATGTAGATGAGAGATATGGAAAATTAAGAACTCAACCTATGTGGATGAGTGGGAGATGTTGGAGTATGGTCGGGTTTGTCCCAAACCCACAACCTGTGGATCATTCACATTATTTGAATTCTAAATTTAGAATTGAAAATATAACGGAGTGATAAGATAACAGAATCTTATCACATCCATAGGTTATTATAATTTGAAAATCAAATTGAAACTCTATCGATTATATAATTCTGATATATGTGATCAGATGAGATAGAGTTTTTGAAGTTTCTCCATTTTTACTTTCTCTCAACACTTTTTGTATCTGTTAGCCATCAACCCTAGGATTTGGATTGTGGAAAAGATATAGAGGACTCTGGTAGCCGTTTTATTGACGAGTAAGACGATCAACAACTTCGTTAGTTTGCAGAAGGATTTCAATTATCTGTGGTTTTTGGGACTACTCGTAACATAAGCTTTCAAATCTTGTGCTTTTAGGTATTTGGACTATTGAGGTAATTGAATCCTTCTATATTTTTATTTCCGTTAAAGTGTATAAACCCATCATGGCTATGTGACAAACAATTTTCTTTAGGGTGGGGTAGAGTTTGGGTGAACCTGTCCCATATTCGCCCTATTGCCATCTTTACTTGTGCATATCGATCCTGTGCACACATTGTTTCAGTGCATATTTAATGACCCAAAATAGGGGGTACTAACAAAACATAGTTCAAAAACCATTCATTAAAAGTCACCAAATGAAAAGATCAAAAATTGGTCTCCTAATATACAACTCTAATATATCCAAATCCACAACAACACACCCATGGATCACCAAAGCCTTTTACATATCAAACATACAATACTTGATAATGTCCAAATCCCAATTACATAAAAATCATCAAGTACATATATAGGCATTTCATTAAACATTTAGTGTACCTAATTAAGAAAATCTCCAAATGCATAGCACATAAGCCAACTCCAAAATTCTCTAACTAATCTATGCTACCTGTAAAATGATGGGTGAGACAAGAATTCATAGTAGGAATAGACTATAACAAGTGTCTCAAAAAGCACATTAGAGTAATTAGCTTCACTGAAATACATAGTCATTTATATCAAAACATAGATATCTTTCAAGAAAATTTAAACTAGAAGATAAAGAATTAAGGTGGAGAATCAGGATGATTTGGACATAGATCACTATTAGTTTAGGCAAAAACATACATTAATTAAAATGGATATTTCCATGTCTTAATCACAGAATTTGGGAAAAAAAATTAGCAAGATGAGTTATAGAGAACCCTACCAAACAACCGGTTGAAGGAGTGGTGGTGAAGAGATGTCATTAGCTATTCCATGATTTTCCCCTTCTTCCTTCCTCTTTATTTTTCTAGACTCATAACTACAACTCCTCTCTTTCTCTTGTCGTTCTCCTTGAAGCTCATTATTTCCTCTTTTCTTTCTTCATCTCTCAGTTCTCCTTTCCTTATCTCAATACTCTAAACATGAATTCTATGTGCTAGTCAAAGGTGTTGTGGTGTGTAGTGGAAGGACTATGGGCATGCATAAGGAGAGCTAGACATGTGTCCTAAGACTTTTAATGATACGTTTGGTGTGCATGAATGGAATGGAATACCCAGTCCTTTGTTTGGTATGCAATATAAAGTTAATGACAATTCTATTGGAATAAAAATCCATTCATGGAAATGAAAATCCATTCCATGACTAAACCTATAGAATGGCCATTCCATTCCCAAGTAATTTTTTTTTAAAAAAATCAACTTTCCAAAAAACCCTTATATTCCAAGTCCAAAAACCATCATTACCTTTCACTACAACCACTTCTGCCTTACTCACCACCACCATTACCACTGCATTCCACCACCACCACTGCCATCGCTTTTCACCATCGCTATAGCCACTGTTTGACGCAACCACCACCGCTGGCTTTCACCACCGCTACCATCACCACCTTCTACCACCACCATTACCATTGCCTTTCACCACCACCACCACTACCACTTTCCACCACCACCACTGCCATCGCTTTTCACCATAGCTATCGCCACTGTTTGCCGCAACCACCACCGCTGGCTTTCACCACCGCTACTGTCATCACCTTTTACCACCACCACTACCATTGCCTTTCACCACCTTCCACCACCATTGCCGCCATCTCCTTTCACCACTGCCACCACCTTTCACCACAACCCTACACCACCACCTTCCACCACCGCCACCGCCACCGCCACAACCCTACACCACCACCACCGCCTTCCACCATCACCACCACCACCACCTTCCACTACCGCCACCACCACCATCGCCACCACCTTTCACCACCTTTCACCACCTTTCACGCCACCACCACCACCTTTTACCACTACCACCGCCACCGCCACCACCTTTTACCGCCACCGCCTTCCAACACCGCCATCATTACCACCTTCCACCACCACCACTGCCTTCCACCACCACCATAGTCACACCACTATCTCCTTTCACCACAACCACCACACTACTGTCACCGCTTTCCACCAACACCACTGCCACCTTTCACCACCACTGCCGCCTTCTAACACCACCACCTACACCAGTACCGCTTTCTACCATCCGCCATTGCCACTGCCACTGTCACCATTTATTTTTAAAAAATTATTAGAGAATGTCATTTTATTAATTTAATTTATTTGTTGCTAAGAAGGATATTTTAGAGAATTCATTTAGAAATTTATTCCATTTTAAATTTTAAATTGGTCCCACCAAACACTAGAATGGTTATTATCATTTCATTCCTGCACATTTCATATTTACAACCAAATAGAATGAGAATAACTATTCCATTCTATTCTCATTCTCATTACATTCCTACTTGCATTCTATTCCATTCCATTCCTACACAAAAAACAACATGCCTACATTCTAGACCAAAAACCAATAATTTTATTGCCAAACAATTACAAAAAAAAAAAGAAAAAAACTTCATATCAACAATTTAAAGCACATAATTTTAAACTATGAAATATTTAATGTTTCAATCTCAAACAAGATGTCATATCATAAGACTCATTTCATTGCAGAGATGAATATGAATATGATGAGCCACAGTCATCCTTAATCTTCATAACCCAACCAAATAAACAATAAATGAATATGCACCTCAAAATGGTAAGAAATTATCCATTACAATCGGTGTAATGATAATGTAGTATAATGGACAGATATAAACACTCTATTAAAATACATATATTAAATTTTTGCTTTTATTGTAAGTTCACTTTGTTTTGATAGAGTGTTTGTAACTGTCTGATACACCACACCATGTCATCGTTGCATGATTGCAATAAAATAATATATCCAGAATGATTTCTCTATGACGTAGCGGAAGTGATAAATTGTTCACAAATGAACGGGGTACCTTGAATCCACAAGGAAGAAAAAAAGAATTCGCAGAGGAATCTGATAATATATTAATACTTGAATAAATGATCTGCTATGCAGTACATGTATTTATAAATAAAGACTCTAACAGTATAAAGAAAATTCTAAAAACGTAAGAAAACTAGCAGCATAAGAAAATTACTCAAAAACAAACTTGTTCTGAATATTCTTTAAAAATTAGGAAAGAAACCTAATTACTAAAAACTTCTAAATACCAAAAAAGAAAGCAAATCAAATCAGTTTAGTTTTATAACGAAAATTCCGAAATATTCAAAATTGGGAAAACATCATTCCCGAACCTTAAACAATTGAATTTGGTCAAAAGGCGCTCTACCTCGATAGTAAAGCTGTCGATATTTGTGAATTGGGCCGTTTTTAATAAAATTGGACTTTTTTTTAAATTAAAACAGATTTTTCAAAATCATTCTATAAAAATTAATCAATCTGCCCGTTTGATACTTTGACTGTTGAAACGAAGTCTAAAATTTTCAGCTGACTGTTTTGCATCACTATAGCATGGTGGTGTTTTGAAGTTCGGATATTTCATATGACACACTGATCTCTTAGTGCTATAGATAGCCGTTCCGTCCTTGGTTGTTTTTCCCCTAGCAATATAGACAAGGTCACATGAGGATTTCAGTGCATATCCACATGCCATATTGTTATTGAACCTTATTACTTTTGCTCTGATATGACAAATTAAAATAAAAAAAAAAACAGTAATATAAAGATTTTCTCGAGAATAAAACTGAACTAGGGTTTCAGACTTTCAATAGATTGCCACCTAAGGAACTCCGCAAGTGGAGATAAATGTGCTATCTACTTTTGGATGTTTCCGCAACCTCCTTGTCTCTTTGTCTTAATATGAGAAGATAATACCAATTTGGAGGTCTTTGTTATTGGAAAGAAAACAAAAACAAAGTTTGGAAGCATATTTGTGAGGTTTCTTGTAATTCACAAACTTTTGACTACTTGACAAAAGAAAACAGAGACCATTGCTTGTCTTTGTTATGACATGTTTGGAGTGAAGTAGAGATTGGGGAATATTGAACCCTTTGGCCAGCCCTTGATTCCCCATCCACCTTAGGTGTAGACAAAAGAAACTTAAAAAAGGATTAAATCTAGAGAGAGAAAGACAAGTGTTTAGAGAAAAAGAGGTGTTTAGAGAGATAGTGAGTGCAGCGCACTCCTCACAAATTCCATATTCCTGTGTGTGTGGACTCCTGTGGGAGGGGAAGGACACCGAAGTAGTAACGACAAACACGACCTCCACGCATTGTCGGCAACCCAGAAACCCTTTAGACCAACAAAGCTTTAATTGAATCAATCAAACGTTTGATTTCTCTCTATATATCGCTATATATCAAAAAATAGGAAAAACCCAAAACGCTGCAAAAGCTGTGAAAACAGAGAGATTAAGAAGTAGGTCTGAGGATTTTCTTTATGTCTTCAAATGGGTTCTGATCAATTGTAAAACTGAGTAAGGGATTGGTGATTCTTCGTGTGGTTGCTGAGATCTTCAGAGATGTTCTGAGCTTTGGTGGTACTACTGTTCTCTCTTAAAATTTTCTTGATTATTTCTTAATATGATCTGAATCTATGAAATATTTCTTACCCAATTGAACTTGTTGAAGATTTCAATTATTATGCGCTCTCTTTGTTTGATCTGTTATTCACTTTTCTGCCTGTATAATCTGAATCAATGTCTCTGAATTGTGTTTATTTTTTCCAGTTCTTGTGATTGATCCAAAGAGTTAATACCATTTTGTTGCAAATTTTGTTCTTGCATGAACAATTTGATACACTTACAATACCTTAGCCGTATTGACACTTGGATTGATCTTCAATTCAGTCTAATTCTATTTCCCAATTGAGATGTCCCATCTTCCTTTATTATCCAATTCAAATATTAGAATTGTTGTTGACACCCATGTTTCAAGACGATAGATCATCATCTGTAACTTCATCACCTTTCCAAATCGTTCCTAATATGTCATTTTCACCTGGTTTCGGATCACCACACTCATGGCTCAAAGAGCTTAAATCCGAGGAGAGAGGTCTATATTTGATCCAGCTAATGCTCACTTGTGCTAATCATGTAGCCGCCAACAGCCTTGAAAATGCAAATATTGCTCTTGACCAAATCTCCCAACTAGCCTCTCCTGATGGTGATACTATGCAGCGTATTGCTGCATACTTTACCGAGGCACTAGCCGAACGGGTCCTGAAATCTTGGCCTGGTCTTTACAAGGCCCTGCATGCCACTAGAATGTCTTTGGTTTCGGAAGAAATTCTTGTTCGGAAACTGTTCTTTGAGTTGTTTCCGTTTTTAAAGGTGGCTTTGGTGATCACGAACCAAGTTATTATGGAAGCCATGGAAGGGGAAAAGATGGTTCATATAGTTGATCTCAATGCAGCGGAACCTGCTCAGTGGCGTGCACTTCTACAAGAGTTGAGTGCACGGCCTGAAGGGCCGCCCCATTTGAGGATTACAGGCGTTCACCAACATAAGGAGGTGTTGGAGCAAATGGCTCATATATTGACAGAGGAAGCAGAGAAGTTGGATATTCCATTTCAGTTCAATCCCATAGTTAGCAAATTAGAAAATCTCGATATTGAAAAACTTCGTGTCAAAACCGGAGAGGCACTAGCAATTAGCTCGGTTCTCCAACTTCATTCTCTTTTAGGGTCTGATGATGAAGTCCTGATGAAAAAATCCCCATTGACACCAAATAATTTAAATGGAGTTCACCTGCAAAGAGTCCTGCAAATGAACCAAAGTACTTTAGGTGACTTGCTGGAGAAAGATTTGATCAATGGGTATAGCCCTAGTCATGACTCGGCTTTGTCGTCGCCACTATCTTTGACTGCTTCAGGAAAGGTGGATGGCTTTCTCAATGCTTTATGGGGTTTGTCGCCAAAGATCATGGTGGTAACAGAGCAAGATTCCAACCACAATACGTCAACTCTCATGGAGAGGCTGTTGGAATCGTTGTATTTTTATGCGGCCTTGTTCGATTGTTTGGAATCTACCTTGCCAAGAACATCATTGGAGAGATTGAAGTTGGAGAAGATGCTGTTTGGAGAGGAAATTAAGAACATTATAGCGTGCGAGGGAATTGAGAGGAAGGAAAGACATGAAAAGCTCGAAAAGTGGATTCAAAGGCTTGATTTGGCTGGCTTCGGGAATGCGCCGTTGAGTTATTATGCTATGTTGCAAGCAAAGAGGTTGTTGCAAGGTTATAGTTGTGATGGTTATAGGATCAAGGAAGAGAATGGCTGTGTAGTGATTTGCTGGCAAGATCGAGCCCTTTTCTCTGTATCTGCTTGGAGTAGGAGGTAAATTTTGACTATTATTATAGAATGTTTGAGGTTTTTTCTATTTCGCTTTTTATTTTTATGAAATATTTTGTTCTTATGAAAGTGGATGTTGTTAGATCGACTTATGAACCTCGTGCTCTTAGTGACACATATATTAAATTTTTATAATTTTGTTTCTTATGAAACTATGTTTTGTTTGGAGCTTGCTGGTGATCTCTCTCTCCATAAAATGGACCTCCATGGTTACTTGGCATCAAATGCATACATTGAGGTGTTCATAATTGCATTGACGGTACACTTTTTTACAGTTTGTGTTGATGCTGTATTGTTTTGGGGAACAATGCTCATTGTTTCAGAAATACAACACTGGTGGCATTGTATTGGTTTGCACATGGTGGGGCGATGAGATTTGACATATCCATTTTTGGGACTGTTGAAATTCGAAAACACAAGGCAGAAATAAATCATAGACCTTTTAAGTGGTAAATAGATTTGGAAAACGGTGGAAAATTCTAGGATACCCTGTGGTATTGTACCTCCGGGTGTTTTAACCGTTGGATGTGGTGGTGGGGTTCACCTGGAAGACCTGGAGTATCCAAGGTATTGCAGAGCTTCTCAGAAAATTTGAAGTTAGTCTCCAAGGTATCTCCTTCTCCCCCAATATGTTTTTTTGTATTGAAAGACAAAAATTAGTAGTATTGGTTATTTTTCTTGAAATTTGCGTACTAAAAACTATACAAAACTAATTTCCATTTTGAGTTCCAGAGTTCTCATACTAAATGGAGCTAAAATAAGAAAATATGGGAATATAAATACTCTGGTCCTGTGGACAAGAGCAAATAAAGAGAGAGATGCGTTTGCACATTTGAGGGCTTCCGGATAGATGTGTGTGCACATTTTGGAATAATTATAACATGTGGGCAAAATTTTCATTTTAGAGTACCATATATTTGATCTATTTATCTAAAATAACGAGGGCATAAATAGTAAATTCAGTCTAATTCTTTCTAATATTAATTTAGTCTAATTTTTGAGGCCTGTAAAAGATAAAGAAGCATAAGGCTCCGTTTGTTTGGATATAAAATAATTTTTAAAAAATATTTGTTTGTTTGGATATAAAATAATTTTTAAAAAATATTTTTTTATTTTTTGGTGTTTGATTTTTGTAAAAAATTTAGGATGAAGAAAAATATTAAAATTTAACGAAAATAACTTATTCATCAATTTTCGACAAATAAAAATGAATGACAGGTGGAACTCAAACTAGATAAAACCTATGCATCAACAATCCCCCCCCAAAAAAAAAAAAAAAAAAAAAAAAAAGACAATTGATCAATACTCATTAGCGAAGCGTGTGTATACACTTTTAACTACTTACAACTTTCACATTGATGGTACTCCCCAATCTGCTACTGCTGTTCATAATTCTTGTTATTGTTCGCTTTCACGTATCGGTTCACACGGTCGTTACAATCCACTCTCTAAGAGGCCTGACATTTCTATCAGTTGGGTTAGATTCCGATATCAGTTGTAACGACTACTATATCACATAGTATGATATTATCGACTCGAAGCCGCAGAATTTTACTTTTAAAATTTACCCAAAACACCTCCTACCAACTGGAATGTACAAACCCTACATACGTGGGATTTTAATCCATAGCATGCTAACATGAATTTCACTAGTGCATTGCACGTGGTTCTAATTAGTATATATATATGTGTATATATATATATATATATATGAAAGTTGCAACCTTTCTAGACGATAGAGGAATATAGAGTAATTTAAAGCTAGCTAGATTATATTAAAACCCTTATTAAATAATGAAAGTCAAAAGATTCATATAACGATGAAATATTCCAATAGATGAACATCAACCAAACTATTTGGAATTAATCAGGCTAAGATCACACACAACAAATATTTAATAACAACAAATAAAAATTTAGACAAAAATCACACATACAAACTTTTATTCAAGAAAAAAGAGGATTACAACCCTACATATTTCACTCACTCACTAAAGAAGACACACAACATACACCTCACTTATTTTCTTTTTGTTTCTTCCACCGCCTCACACACACACAGGCAACTTTCTGAAACAACGGTGACTTACTCCAACACAAGCTATTAAGTAGACTTACTCCATGCACGTACAAGTAAAAACCAAACCCCACATAGACAGAAACAACAAATTCATGTCTATAGGGGTATGGGATCAATGAACAGGGAGATAATATGATCTTTCAACATTACTTCTGGATGAGTAAATCCATCGTTGCACTTGTAAATGCCATCAAACACGCGCGTAAGATTAACAACTCGCATGAGAAGGTTCATTGAGATGGAGTTTGGGTTGAGGAGGCATTCCTCATTGATATCCTTCCAAGCATTTTTAATCTTTTTGTAGAACTCATCAACTACCTCTTCTTTTGAAACTCTTGCATGTTGCTTCATGTAGCACTCAATCCCCGTGGCAACATGTCCCCTCTTTTGTTCTACCTTCAAATTTTAAAGATTCATCAATATATATATATATATATATTAAAGTATTGATTAATGTTCGATACATATAGCATAAATTATATGTTTGTATTATATAACTTGTGTTTCATCAATGTCTAATTAGTGATGTAAATTTATTATGATCAGATATATACCTCGCGGCTCATTATGTCATCTATGAGCCGGCCGACTGTGTTTGAAGCTATAAGAATTTTCGGTTTGGCTTGTAGCCAATCAAATGCCTCAGTCGTAGCAATTTCTCCCATGTCCATAAAGGATTGTATTGCGAGCAAATAGCAAGCGCCAGTGATCAATGCAATGTCCATATATTCATCAAATGATGGCACATATCCTTCATTGAACCACTTTGCCTCAACGTAGTAACTCCTTGCTACTTCTTTAAACTGGTCATGAGTTAAAACAAAATAAATACGAGTTACTATTAGAATTTATGAGATATAACGAGCTTATTTGGTTTTCTTTTTGAGAATGATTTTCACTTTTCAGAGAACTGAAATTCATAAAAATGTACAAAACGCTCAGGGACATAGCCAGTAATCGGGTTCAGGAGGGGCATAACTCTTGGGTTATATATATACAAACGCTTGGTTGAAGTTTTTCTAAAAACTGGTTTATGAAACCTTTTTTAAAGAACTATTTTGATGAAGGCTAAACCCAACAGGGCCGTTTCCTTCTCAAACATGGGAATATTGAAGAAATGAAAACTAAAATTATAAAGAAAAAGAGAATATATAAATTGCATAAAAAAACTTGGGAACGTAAGCCATACTGCTTCTTTTGAATGATGAACACTATAAGATCTTCCTTGCTTTATCATTTCTTTTTCTATTTCTTCATAGAAATCTAGGAGCATCCTGTAGAATATCTTCATGTAATCTGGGAGCTGATCGATGGCACTGATATCCCACCTAAAAATTATTGAATTATTCAACACCAACAAATATAGTTGATCAACAAAAATGAGCAAATCAACGTTCTTCACTTCTCTTCTTTGATATTGTCGTTGAGAAGACAGCTTAAGGAAACAAAAATATGAAGACTGGATTTTGGTACAAGCTAGATTTTGAAGGGCTTGATGAATTAAGACTCAAAGTTTTCTTGCCAATTATGCAATAATCTTTAATGAGAAACTCAAAAAACAAGAAAACAAGAATTGCGTGAATCATACCTTTGTATTGCATCCGTAAAAGGTTTGAGTTCTTCAAGTGTACCATATGCATCATATGTATCATCCATAACTGTTTGCATAGCGATAGTTTTTGTGAGCATGATCCTCCCAATGGAATAACGAGGTTCAAAGTATGTTGTCATAGCCCAAAAGTAGCACTCAACGATTCTATCTCTTGTATAAGAAAGTTTTGACATAAAGTCCCAGTCTTTCCACCACCTATTTACAATACAACGCAATCTGATTTAGGCCAAATATTGTGCCCCCTCTCTCTACAATACCCCTAGGTACCATATTTATGAGGTTTTCAGCCGTTGGATGTGATGGTGAGACCCACCTAATGAATGTCCCAACGGCTGAGAGGCCCATATTCTAGAAATCTCTAAATTGTATTTCTAACATACTGTACATATATCTATTTATATATATATTACCTTGAGACGTGGCATAATTCTTGCTTGTGCATCGACTGTAATTGATTGAAGTCCAACTTTGCAAGCTTCAGCAACAATTCATTCTTAGAAACATCTTCCTGGTAAATAGAGATGTAATTCCTTGCTTCCACTCTTGGGATGCCCTTGTGAAGTGGTTGGTTTAGGGCATACATCACTTGTTTTGCAAGAAAAGGGCTTAAATGGGTTACCATGGATTCAAGGTGAGTAGTTGTGAAAGCCAGAGCCTCATCAAGAATATCTTCTCCATGTATCCTTAAATGTGAAGCTTCATACAGGTTTAGCATTCCCGTTACATCCCCAGTAAGGTTTTCCTTGAATTTACCATTGCCGCCTTTAAATTTCTTGAAGATATCTGATTCAGAAGTTAGCATATCATATCAGCTCTATCTATATGAAAGAATAAGTTATGTGAATGGGTGTATATGCAACTCCAAAATCTATATATGTATAAATTCACCATACACTACTTTTTAAAACATAATTCCATAAAAATGGGCTTTTACCGAATTTTAGTGATTTTAATTGAAATTTTGAAAATCATTATTTAAAGCAAATTAATAGTGACCTATTGATAAATTCTAAGTTGTTCATATTAAAAAGGCTTATTAATTATATTTTCATTCATTAATATACTTAATCTTGAAATAAATGAAAATGCATGTCATGTACAACATGCCAGGGAGAGAAACTAAAAATAAAAATAAAGAATTAGAAAATGATATAATACAAATGGAAAGTAGAAGAAAATTGAAATTGAACTCAACTGATCACACCATCCAAACCAAGCTAGGGATGCCAATTTGGCCTCGCACCAAGTTTCCAACCCTCCCTTAATGAGAATATGTAATGAAAAGTAGGAGTTCATTATTATATGAAAGTTTTATAATATTTAACTGTTTTTAGAGTCTAGTATGACTAGTTGATAATTTCGTGGCAAAATAAAAAATTAAAAAAGAAGAAGAAGTAAAAAGAAGCTATTGGAAGTTGGCCAGTTTGTGAGGCCCGTTAATAGAACTCTAAAATCCATTGCAAGCTTTCTAGGCTATGGTGGGTGTATACATATATTGTATCTATATTTGAGGACGAAATTACCGCAAGACATGTTATAACCGTGTTGTCTGAATACTCGAAAGCTTATAGTAGTTGTGCACAAATCATTATCTTGCAAATCCTCAAGGGAATGAAAAGTTTGCTCCAACTGGTCTTCGATCTCTTTCTCAAAGTGATAGGAGATACCAAGGCGTTCGATTGTGTTGATCAAATTTATTTTCTCTACTGGTTTACTTTGCGCAGTTACTAGCATACTTCTCACTTCTTCTTTCAACCCTTCAATCTCTTTAGCATGCATTTCAAATACCTGCATAAGCACATGCATGAATGCAACTTAAACTGAGGCACTGATTAAATATAATTTAATCTATTTTGAAAATAAAATTAAAAGAAAATAAAGAAATTAAAATGAAGGAAGAAGACAGCATGGGATTTGTTTCCAAGTCTTCCCATCCAAAAGAGAAAAAATAACAAAAAGAAATCACTGGCTTGCATGCATTAATTAGATAGAGAACACTTGGGACAGAGATGTTAATTACCTGGTTATCTAAAGAGAATGAGAGGAAACGATCACCCCATAAACTAGGCGGGAAGTTTGCTAATGGCCGAGATATCTCGGGCTGACAGTTTATAGGATTGCTAACTTCAATGGAGGCCATTTAAGATGATTTAGAAATTTCTTTTTGACGTACACGAAGGTTCAAATATATTGGCTTTATAGTTTATACTACACAAACATACATATATATAGAGGTAGAAAGACAGAGGTTGTAAATTTTTATCATTATTATTTATTTTATTTTTTTTACAATTTATATTTATTCAATAGAAAATGGATACAACCATTACATGTAGAAAGATTTAGGTGTGAATCAATACGTTACTATTGTATAAAATCCAACATTGACAGTTTACCGTTTCATTTGTAGTGTTTAACACAATCTAAGTTAGAATATTATCTTTAAAAACAGATTTAGTTCGAATTAAGGGTGGCAATTCGTAAATTATAACCGTGTTATATCGATTTAAGAGTATTACATTAAATAGCTCAATCTGAATAGAATAATAATTGTGTTGTATCGATTTAAGAATATTCGTGTCAGAAACTTTTAACACTAAGCCGA